ATTTGTTTCCTGATGTGTTGGTGTCACTCCCACTGGAGTATAAAGGAGAGGACTTTGCTTCTCACTCCCCACTCCACACCTGCAACCAGCTCAGGGACCAACATGTAACAAACACTCAATTGCTTTTGATGAAGGAGGAAGGAATTATGATGAGTCAATGAATGAATGAGTGAGTGATTCATAATCTCTACAGATTCTGGAAGGTGGATGCAGAGTCCTAGGAGGTTTTGGCCACTCCTGTTCCCTGTCCCTCCGGGGGCTGGGACCCACGTTCCATCCCTCTGATCACCTGCCCCCAAAGCCCCCACAGGAGCCAAGCCGCATGGTGACTGTGGGGCTTCTTGCCATGGGAGGATTTTTCTTGACATGGTCCTTCTCTGGACCAGCCGTGGGCTCTTGGTCCCTGGGGTCTCTGAAGTCACCTGTAAGCCCCCCTGCTCATTACCATGGTCAGTTCTGGCTCTCTCTGCTCCTTCCTGTCCCTCACCTGCCTCCTCCTTCATTCCAGCCACGCTGCCCTGCTCTGCTCTGCTTCCTCCACCCTGAAGCCTCCCGGGATTCTCCCACTAACACCTGTGGCCAGGGCCACCCTCCTGGACAATAGGAAAGGACACAGAAATCAGTCGGAGCAGCAGCCCCTGGCTCCATCATGAGCCAGTTTCCCAGGTCACAAGAACGAGCTTCCACTGTGCCTCCGTCTAGGGCTCCTTCCCTCCCTGACGCCAACAAGCAAACAGGCCACATGACAGAGACTGTCACCCCTTGATCTGCTCTCTACATGATTCAACCAGGGAGTAAAGGCAGAAGGACAGGTCTGTCCCCAAATGCTCTCAGGCTCACTTTACCTGACACATCACTCACATCCTCGTCCAGGTGTGAGGCTCCCGTTCCTCCCAGTGGTTCCCGAGACCTTCCCAATTGGGTGGTGACCTCGTGCCATCTGATTGGTATACTGCCTATTTCATGCACGTGTGTCCTCATGCTGACACCTTTAGCATTGGGTGGGATCCTCGCAGACAGTGAGATACACAGGCCACTGTCCTTTCTCTTAGACACTGCCCACTATGGATGAATTTGATCAAGCTCTAGCTCTGTTTCCTGAGTTAGAGACAAAGGGAAGAACGCATGCCACATGCCTGTGTGGGGGCTCCTCCCTCATTTGACTGACTGTCCATTGAAATTGGTGACAGGGACCTTTTTCCTAAATTTGCTAACATAACACATTGTTTCTACTAATTTGCACTCATTTCTCCCTTTATACAACAGAGAAACCTAGACTTCCCTTCTGATCACTTCTGTCCTCTTAACAAGACTCACATTCTCTCCCTCCCCAGGGAGCCACTGATTTCACACCCACTGTAGCATCTTCCTTTCATCACAATGTGATCCTGGTTGGACTGCAGAACCTGGTCTACGACCTTCAGTGCTCTCTAGAGAGATTCCTCTAGAAACTGGTCTTAGATCTTCGGGCATTGATAATGATTTTCACATGTTCTTTCACAATATAACTTCTACCAATGTTCTGTCTCATAACTGTCTTTACAAATGGTTCACAAGGGTCAAGTTTTCAACAAGGTCATGCTCCCCCACTTTCCACAAATCACCCCTTCTATATTTGCTACTGTCTAGGAGTATTTCAGGAGGAATCGACATGGTCCTCACTGCCCTCAGCAGCGGGAGAAGAGACGTTAAAGACCAAGGGCAGAGAGCGTGGTCCTGCCAAAGCCAGCCAGCTCCCACTGTCCCCTCACTCTTTTCTGATCATTTCTAGCCTTGAATCTGCTCTACCCTCCATGGCACCATTATTCCATGTGAGTCACCTGAACAAACTGCCCCATCTCGAGCCTTTGCCATCTGAGCACTGATCTGACCTTAGGCTTGCTCCTGGTCTCCCCATGTGTCATTTCTGCTCAAACGCCCAGTCCCCAGGTCAGGGAGTCAGCTGGTCAGTGAAGAGCCAGGGCAGGTGCCAGGTGGTCTCTGACTCGGTCCCATGTCTTCCCATGACCAAACCCTGATACTTAATTGACTGTTGAGAAAGTCTGTGTTTTCTCCCAGATGTAGAGCTGACACCTCATGTTCGCTGAACGCTCAGAGCCTCATGCATTTGTCTTGTGATACACAGACCTGCTTTATCCTTTAAAGGACTCAGTTTGGCTGAGAAGTGAGAGGTGTGAACTCTGATTGAAGATGCTTTGGAGTTATCATGGTACCCCACAGGGCAATGTTCTCTCTGTTATCTGTACAGCACAGTTACCCAAACCCAACATCACAAGCAACAACCCTAACCCCGTGGAGCACAAGGACCCTGCAGTGTTCACATGTGAACCTGAGATGCAGAACACCACCTACCTGTGGTTGATCAACAGTCAGAGCGTCCAGATCAGTCCGAAGCTGGAGCTGTCCAAGGACAACAGGACCCTCACGTTACTCTATGTCACAAGGAATGACATAGGACCCTATGAGTGTGAATCCCGGAACCCAGTGAGCGCCAGCCGCAGTGACCCACTCTACCTGAATGTTCTCTGTGAGTAACTTCTGCCCTCCCTGGCCCACGCTGCCCACCCAAATCCACACTGCCAGAGGCCAGGCTACATCCGTCCGTCTCAGGTCCAAGTACACACACCCTCACTCCTGGACACCCATACTAGCCATCACTTCCTCTCCCAGGCAAATGCGGGCAGGCTCAGCCTTGAGCTGAGGTGAGGGGGGGACGGGCTGCTCCTGTCCTGAGAGGCTCAGAATCAATAACCTCTCATGGAAGAAACTGGTTAATGTCTCAGAATCAGGATCTGTGAACATAGGGAGTTATGGTTGGGACTTTTAAAAACAAGATTGTGACCCAGCTCAGAAGGACAGTGTGGCCCTTATACAGACAAGGAGCGTCCCCTTTCCTGTGATTACATCACACATGGCTTTGTTCTGTTTGCTCCAGATGGCCCGGATTCCCCCACCATTTCTCCCTCAGACACCCATTACTGTCCCGGGGCCAACCTCAGCCTCTCCTGCCACGCAGCCTCTAACCCACCCGCACAGTATTCTTGGTTTCTCAATGGGAGTCTCAAGCAATCCTCACAGGAGCTCTTTATCACCAACATCACAGCGAATGATAGTGGAACCTATACCTGCCTTGTCCATAACTTTGTCACTGGCCGCAACAATACCGCAGTCAGAAATATCACACTCACTGGTAAGTTGCTCCCTGGACCATTGGTAGCAGCTCTGGGGTGGAGGTCTGTCTGTTTTGCAGGAAAGATCTGGAAGAAGTTATTTTCCATTTGCCAGTGTCACAGGCAAATCTCATATCTGTCCCTGAACCCTCCCACTACATATCTGCAGACCCTGCCTCCCCTCTCTCTCTGAATTCTCATGGCAGGTGTGGGTCCAGTCTGGAATGTGAGGAAGGGTTTTTCTCAGCCCCAGAAAGCCCCATGAAATGGAGGGGGCTCTGCAGCTGGGGAAGGGAGAAGGGTCCTCAGGTTTAAGTTCCTTTGGGTTGTTGAATTGCAGATATGATTTGCAAATATTTTCTGCCAATCTCTGTGTTGCCATCACTGTCTTCATTGTGTCCTCTGATGCACAGAAGTTTTCCATTTTGATGTAATCTAATGTATCTATTTTTATTGTTTGTGATTTGGGTGCCATATCTAAGAAATCATTGGCAAATCCAATTTCAAGAAGCTTTTCTCTGTTTTCTTCTACCACATTTATAGTTTGACTCTTATGTTTAGATTTTTCATTTCCTTTCAGTTCGTTTTTGTGCATAGTGTAAGGGAGGGGACCAACTTCATTCGTTTGCAAGTGGATATCCATTTTCCCATGACCATTTTTTGAATAGAATTTTTCCCCATGGAATGGTCTTGGCAAACTTGTCAAAAATCACTTGACCATACAGGCTAGGATTTATTTCTGGGGTTTCTGTTCTATCCATTGGTCTGTATGTATGTCATTATGCCAAACCCACACTCTTTTAGTTACTGTAGATTTGCAGTGGTTTTGAAATCAGAAAGTATGAGTCCTCCAGCTTTTTTCCTTTTTAAGATTATCTTGGCTGCTTGAGCTCCCTTGAGATTCCATATGAATTTTGGAAATTTTAACTTCTGCAAAATATTGGGTTGTCGGAAAGTCATGATGCATGTTTGCAATGAAAAACGTAGAAAAAATACGTCATAACGTTTCTTTTTTTTAAAGATTTTTATTGGTGAATTGGGGGGATGGGAACAGTGCTGGGGAATTGGGGGAAGGGGGACAGACAAGTTGCTGTCGTTTTGTTCTTCAGTCTAGTTGTGGAGGACGTTGCTTCACTGGCCCAAGTTGGCACCATCATCGCGCTCTTCCCGGGCGAGGCAGATCAGTCGCCGGCTTCTGGACGGCCGCTCACTGTGGCTGCTGGCCGCTCACGCTGGCTGCTGGCTACACACGGTAGCCCATGGCAACCCACTGCCACAGGGACTGCAGCCTACGCCGTCGCCGGCGACTCACGGCAGCCCAGCTCCAGGTTGAGCTGTTGTTCAGCATCTTAGCTGTAGAGGGCAGTGTCACTGGCCCTCATATGTGGGATCCGAACCGGGGCCCTCTGGCATCCCAAGCGAGTTCTTAACCATCGCGCCACTCGGCCGGCCCCGTCATAACGTTTCTGACAACCCAATATTTCATTGAGATTTTGATAGGGATTGCATTGTATGTGAGGATCTCGTTGAATAGTGTCATCATCTTAACAATATTAAGTCTTCATATCGATGAGCATGGATGCCTTTCAATTTGTCTTCTTTAAATTCTTTCAGCAATGTTCTGTAGTTTTCTGTGTATAAGTCTATTGTTTCATTGGTTAAGACTATTCCTAAGTAATTGATTTTTTTATGTTATTATAAATGGAACTGTTTTCTTGATTCCCTTTTCTGATAGTTCATTGTTAAGTGTGTAGAAACACAACTGATTTTGTTTCTATGTTCATTTTGCATCCTGCAACGTTGCTAAATTTGTTTTCTGTGTGTGTGTGTGTATGTGTGTGTGTGTGTGTGTGTGTGTTTGTAATCTTTAAGGTTTTCTACATAGAAGTGTAAGCCTTCTGTGAACAGACATAATTGTACTGCTTCCTTTCCAATGTGGATGCATTCTATTTCATTCTCTTCTCTATTCGCTCTGGCGTGGACTTCTGTACTGTAGTGAATAGAGGTGGTGAAAGTGACATCCTTGTCTTCTTCCTGGTCTGGAGGAAAAGCTCTCAGTGTCTCACCAATGAGTATGAGGCTTGCTTTCATATAAGGCCTTTATTATGTTTCAGTAGTTTCCTTCTGTTCCTAAGAGTGCCAGTATTTTATTAAATTGGCAACCACTAGTCTAAAGATTTCCTTTCTCGTGATATTCAATCCACAGATTCAGAAGTAAAAGTCCTCTGCAGAGTGAGAACCCCTTACGTTGGAAACTCTTCCATTCCTACGGTTACAAGGACTGGAGAAAGCTGTCCTCATTCCCCAGAAAATTATTTCCTTCACAGTGACATTCAATCCACAGACAAGGAAGTAGAGTCAGTCTTATTAAGATTCAGAAATCCTTTAAATGGAACCTCTCCGGGTCCAAGGTCACGGAGACTGGGTTCTGCCATCTTTATTGCCTAATAAATTATTTAACAAGAGATAAACACCATCCCACTTTCTGTAAAGTTCCCTTTGACCCAGAGATAAATAGAGTTGGCAAGTCTGCCTTTCCCAGCATACATGGAAGTTTACATGAGGAGCAGGACCTGATCTTCTTTGAAGTCAAAGGAAGTTCTAGGAAAGGATCAGTAAAAATTCATGACAGAAAAATTCCACCTGATGATGAAGATGCTGGACATGTGGGCTGAGAAGGTGTTCCTGGTGCTGATACTACAGAGATATCCAGGAGGACAGGTCAGGAGTCACCCTGTGGTGATCTGGGGTCAGAGAGGAGATGTAGCCCTCTCCTTACATATCTCTATTGAAATAAGACAATTGTCCTTCTACAGAGGTCAGCGACATTCTCTGGTGACCTTTACAGCGCTCACTATGGACTGTGAGTGGCTGAGATCTCTGAGGAAGCAGCGTGGTCCTAGGTCCACTCTCAGCCAGTCACCTCCTCTGTCCACAGAGCCTGTGAGAGAGCCTACCCTCCTAGCCAGCAAAACCACAGTCACAGAATAGAAGGACGCTGTGGTCCTGACCTGCTTCAAATGACACTGGGATCTTCATCCAGTGGCTCATCAGTGACCAGAGTCTGTGGCTCATGGAGAGGATGAAGCTGTCCCAGGATAGCAGCACACTCACCACAGATAGATCCTGTCAGGAGTGGGGGCTCAGTGAATGCTATGAAGTAGCATTTTAGGAATGTCGTTGTTATTAGCTGTAAAGTCAGGCAGAAGTTGGTGAAAATGTTGTTGACCACTTGCCGGTTCTGTGACCTCCAGTGATTTATTAGGCACTTCACATCCCAGATTCAGTTTGTGCACAATGTGGATGACAGCCCATCCCTTGTTGGGATGGAAGAATCAGGTGACATGAGCATAAGGTATTTCCCACCCTGCCTGGCCATAGTAGACCAGTGAACATCGTCTGACCACAGAAAACAGTCAAAGAACATTCTCATTACTAATCAGCGTTGAGTTGACATTAAGGGCCTGCCCTCTAAGGCTGTCAATAATGAAGGAAAGGAAGAAACACAGGGGAGAGACACAACCTGAGAAGGAAAGAGGAGTTAAGAGGAAAATGAACAGAAGGTGGGACTGGTATGTGTAGGAGAATGTGCAGAATTAGAACAATTCCAGCTTTCAAATGTGAGAAACAGAAAATGATGCAACCACTGGCAGGGGCAGGGTTGGGGGGACGGGGTGATGACAATACTCACAAACCCCACACAGAGTTGGTGACAGTTCCTTCTCCCTAGCGAGGCCCTCTCCCCTGTAAGTCTCCTCATAATTTCCCTAAATGAACTTGGGCTTTCACCCCTCCCCCCTTTCCTTTCCCCTTTCAGCAGAAAACACCAGCACAGGCAGCTCTCCGTGGACCATTGCTGGCATCACGATTGGGGTCCTGGTTGGGGTGGTGCTGGCGGCTGCCCTAGGGTGTTTCCTGTTTCTCAGGACTAGAAGGTACCATGGCATTTCCTCCACCCTAATCCTCCCCACCATCAGCTGTCCCCAGTCCAGGAAGCAGGAGCCCCATCCTCAGACCCTGGGCTGGCTCTCCACAGCCTCCCAACTTGCCCATGGATGGTCTCACTCCATCCAGTTCCTCCCTCACCAGCTGCTGACCTGGGCAGTTTCCTCAACAGTTTCTTCATCTATAAATTAGGCCCCATTAAGGAACCGTCCCCTCAGGATCCTACTGGTTCACTCAAGGAACCTACAGGTAGTAAGTGCTCAGTAAACTGACACTTCCTGTTGTAGATTGAAGTCCCCCCACCCAGGTGAGGGGCATCTGCTGCCTCAGGATCTGAGGGTGCTCCTGGCCAAGGTCACACAGCAGAGCGTGGAAGAGCCTGGACAGGATGGTGGGGATAAACGCCCCCATGTGGCGGGTTTGTAACCACAGCCCTTGATGTGTGAGAGAAGAAACTGGGCCCAGCCAGGTCAGCAGGTGCTGGGGTGTCCTTTATGCCTCTTGTTCAGGCTGATGGAGACAGAAGGCAGCCACTGTCAGTTTTTAGTGTTATCGGCCTGAGGGGCAGGTCTGGCCTCAGCAGGGACACCGCATTCATCCAGATGCAGCACGCACGGGGCTCCCTAGCATCCTGCACACACAGCTGGCCCTGCTCTCCCTCTGAGGCCGTCACCGTTCCACCGAGTCAGACCCTTGCTGTTCACTTCCTTTCCTGGGCCCTCAGTCCCTACTTTGGCAACTTCCTCCTGGACCCCCATCTGCCTGTGAGCCCTTCCCCTCTGGGCCAGGTCAGACGTGGTTTCTTAAGGCCTTTCGTCAGTTCCCTTTCCTGGGCCCTCCCCCCT